CAGCGCTTCAGCACACAGCACACAGCTCATTATACCACCACACAACCACAAGGTCACAGGTTCAGTCCATGAGCCAGATGAGGCCTTACTGTGGGAGTTTGCATGTTCTGCCTGTCCCTGAGCGAGCGTGCTCTTAGTGCTGTTTTTCCCCACCAACCTAAACGATGGCTGGAAAGTACCAATTACAGTACTGGCATTACTGTAACTGAGTAGACCATTTTTGTGTAACTGTACTTTTTTAGCCGATTCTTAAACATGTACTTGTGCTTGTAATGGAGTAGAATTCTAGGTCCTCCTGAACCTGGATGTCTGTGCTGAGCTGCAGGTTGAGTTTACCGACGGCCGAGTTTATGACCATGTAGATACTGACACATCCACACGATCGTAGTACTTGTAATAGTACTCAGAGTACTGTGGTGCCTGCTTAGTCAGACCCTCCCACTTCCTGTTGGAATAATACAAGTTTAAAAGTGGATCTGGGCTCAGACTGGACTCTGGACTGCTCAGCTCAGCCAACACACACACACACAAGCACACACACACACACACACACACACACCCACACACACACACGCACACACACGCAAGCACACACACACACACACCCACACCCACACACGCACGCACACACATACACACACACACACACACACCCACACACACACACCCACATACACACACACAAGCACACACACACACACGCACGCGCATGCACACACACACATACACACACACGCACGCACACGCACGCACACACACACATACACACACACACACACACATACACACACACATACACACACACAAGCACACACACACGCACACACACATACACACACATACACACACGCGCACACACACACACAAACACACATACACAAACACACACACACCTACACACACACACACATACATACACACACACACACACACACACAAGCACACGCACACACGCATACACACACACACACACACACACACACACAGAGTCCATGTGTAACACACTCCTCTGAGGAGGGTGGTCTACTGCAGGCTACTTTGGACCCTCCATGAGGTCCTCCTGAGGTACAGACCCCAGTGAGGTCCTCCTGAGGTACACATGTCAGTGAGGTCCTCCTGAGGTATTCCCTGTAGTGCAGCTCTCAGAGCAGTGCTGTGGAGACAAAGACATGAGAGAACAACACTTGGTCTATTTTTAGCTCCTCAGATACACCACCACTGAAGCCTGTGTGCCTCTTCCATTTCCACTACACGTACACAGTACATGTACACAGTACACTTACACAGTACACGTACACAGTACATGTTACACAATACACTGACACAGTACATGTTACACAGTACATGTACACAGTACACTTACACAGTACACGTACACAGTACATGTTACACAATACACTGACACAGTACATGTTACACAATACACTGACACAGTACATGTTACACAATACACTGACACAGTACATGTTACACACTACACTGACACAGTATACTTACACAGTACATGTTACACAGTACATGTTACACACTATACTTACACAATACACATACACAGTACACTTACATAGTACACACATTACATGTTCCAGTTGACATGTACACACATACCCACTGACACCAGTCACATGCTCTGGGCCTGTGAGTGGCTCTGTGTCACATACACCTCCACATGTACACACACTCATACATACACATACATATACATGTATACACATGTAGTGTATGTACTGTACACTGTTATCTCTGTAAACCTCCTTCTCCAGTGTTTTCCTGCCTCCAGTTCATCACTACAGTTGTTATGGAAGACAGGGTGGTCAGGGGTTAGTGGGTCAGTGGGTCAGTCCTGTCCAGCCCTGTCTTTTTGGTCTAACCTGATTTTAGACCAAGTCTGTGTCCAGGCTCTGAGACTCACTGTAAAACTGGCTTCCAGTGTTATCAGACTATTGGAAAGTCATGTCAACGGTTTCCTCTGAAGTGAGTAATCTGAGTTCACTCTGACTGTTCACTCCTGTGCAGGGTTTGTTCACTCCTGTGCAGGGACACAGACGAAGATGAAATACATATACATTTCCTTTTAGGGGGTGACACTTGACATATTTAGATCACCATTTTCCTTTAATTGTTTTGTAAATGCTATATTCACCCAAAACAACGTATTAACATGTTTTATAAGTTTCCCTTTCATTTTTGACACTTTGAATCTCCCCTCCTCTTCAGAGCACTATCACAACACTATCAGAGTGCATCCCGCTAATGAAACTACTGCACATCGCATCAGGTTTGTCAAGGCCCAGGAGAGATCGCTAGATTACTTAAACATGTACGGATGATATCTAAAATGTCTTCAGGTGTGTTTTTGATGAGGGAGCAATGTTATGACACAAAGCCAAGGTCACCACGTGGTTTAATGATCAGATTTCTCTTGTAAATGTCAACACCAGAAATCACTGTCACTGTCTGTCAGGGCATTTTTATTAAGTGAAGAAACATGAACCAAATCCATTTTGCACAGAGCTGCCCTTGATCTGATGGAAAACATGTTTTTGTTATTAAACTTGAGGTGTCATGGTTACTGTTATCATGTAAATGTTATGTAAATGTGTGCGTGGCCTCTCTGCCTGTAAAGTGCTGTTCCTCTGTTTAGGACTTTGTTCTGTTCCAAACCTCCTCAAACCACATCCTCACAGCCAAAAGCACATGCACCACATGAACCTCACAGAACAGGTCTGTGCTGGAGTCAGCTGTGGTCCAGGAGCTGAAGAGCAAACGTTTGTCCACAGACTTAAGTGTGCTCATAACACGGTGAATATGATTTGGTCATAACACGGTGAATATGATTTGGTCATAACACGGTGAATATGATTTGGTCATAACACGGTGAATATGATTTGGTCATAACACGGTGAATATGATTTGGTCATAACACAGTGAATATGAAGTGGATTGTGGAAAAAAGAGCTGTTCCCATGGTCTTTGATTTGACCATGTGCTGTCAGGGACACACAGGTGAACACCAGCCAAAATATTTTATCGTTTAAAGTGTTTAAAACTACTTTTACACATCTACTGTTTTCATGGGGCAAATATGATCTATGGGGCACTTATCTGTGCCCGCCCTGCTCTGGACTCAGTGGATGTGTATGTGCTGCTGTCTGCTGTGAGCTGCAGCTCTCCATAGCTCGACTGTGTGAATGATGACATTTATGGCAATCTACCGTAAAGGGCAAGGGGAGTCAGGGCTGAAGTTTTCCAGCAGGAATCAAAGCACTTGTTTCTTTTATTAAGTCGTTTTAGATATTATACAATATTGAGATTTAGCAGAAATCCTTTAAAGAGGAACTAATCACTAGATCCACGTTTATTTACCTCTGTGTATAATGCATCTTAATGTGCTGCTCAAAAATGAAAGGAACATTTTGAAAACACATCAGATCTCAATGTGAAAAATGCAGGATATCGATACAAATATGGGCAGGGCAATGCTTTAGGAACAAAACGCTGCCACTTCTTTTAATGGAAATACAAATTTCAGCCCACAGAGCGCTGAAATGCATGTTTGACAACATTGTGGCTCGCTCCTAATGAAATGACGGATGGTGTTTTGAGGAATGTCCTCTCAGATCTGTGTAAAAGCATCACTGAGCTCCTGTAGAGACTGAGGAGCAACCTGGAGGCGTCTGATGGACCCACATATAATGTCCCAGAGGTGTTCTATTAGGTTTAAGTCAGGTGATCTTGAGGGCCATTCAGTTGTATCAATCCCTTCATCCTCCATGTTCTGCCTGCAGACTCTTGTCACATGAGGCTGAGCATTGTCGTGCATCAGGAGGAACCTAGGACCTACTGCACCAGTGTAGAGTCTGACATTGGGTTCAAGGATTTCATCCTGATACCTAATGACATCAGACTGGCGTTTTCTAGCCAGTAGAGGTTTGTGTGTTCCTCCTTGGATCTGACTCCCCAGAACATCACTGACCACCACCAAACTGCTCATGCTGAACCATGTTACAGGCAGCAGAGTGTTCTCCTTGTCTTCTCCAGACTCTTTCATGTCTATCAGAGGTGCTCAGGGTGAATCTGCTCTTATCTGTGAAAAGCACAGGACACCAGTGGCGGACCTGCCAATTCTGATGTCGTCTAGCAAATGCCAGTGGAGCTCCATGGTGCTGGGCGCTGAGCACAGGACCCACTACAGGACGTGGTGCCCTCAAGCCGCCCTCATGAAATCTGTTTCTGATTGTTCGGGTAGAAACACTCACACCAGTGTCCTGCTGGAGGTCCTTCTGTAGGGCATAGGCAGTGCTCGACCTGTTCCTCCTGCACAAAGGAGCAGATATGTGTCCTGCTGATGGGTTAAGGTCCTCCTATGGTCCTGTCCAGCTCTCCTGAAGTAACTGCATGTCTCCTGAAATCTCCTACAGATTGTGCTGGGACACACGCTAAATCTCCTTGCAATGGCACGTCCACATGTGCCGTCCTGGAGAAGTTTGAACATCTGTGCAACATCACAGCTCCATTTCAAATAGAGCTGCTAAACTGAGCCGTACCTGGAGGACTGAAGGTTGGTTTACTTTGTTCATGGGGCCCTGCTCAGCTGTGAGTTGACGTCCTGACACAGACCTGAACCATGCAAGCTTCTTGTATGGGGGAGTATCCTTCTGTTTTTAATCAGAAACACCTGGCTGTAATCACAGCAGTCCTGTGTGATGTCAACAACTACTTAAAATAGTTGATTTCACTGAAGGCAGCACAGACTTACATTTGGGTGTTTTGACCACAAAACTACAATTGTACCTAGTTTCCACTAAAGTTCACAAAAAATCAGTAGACAAGGCAAACATCAGATACACAGTTTAGGAGTGAAAACAGTGGATTTATTGTTTAGTTCCAGTTGAACTTGTTTCAGATCAATATTAAGATGTTACATAATAACTACTGGAGGCATAACATATGTTGTTAAAATGCCCGTCCTGACCAGCCTCCCTCTGTGTGTCCCTCAGGAGTGGCTGGACCTTCGCTGTCGGGGAGTCCGCAACGCCAACGCCTACATCCTGGTGTACGACATCTGCTGCGTGGAGAGCTTCGAGTATGTCAAGATGATCCGCCAGCAGATCATGGACAACAGGTACGAGAGGACACAAGGCCAGACAAAGGGGGCAGAGACAGATGTCCAGACAGAGAGGGATACAGAGGCAAAGGGGAACACAGGGGGAAGACAGAGGGACAGAGGGGGACATCCAGACAGAGAAGGACCAAGAGGGGAAGAGAGGAACAGGGATAGAGGGATGTCCATACAGACAGGGACTGCGGGGATGGGGTGGGGGACAAAGAGTGGGCCACTAGTCTACCACATGTGCTGTATGGAGAGCCACGAATAGATCCAGATAATCCACCACATGTCCCTTGTCCCAGGCAGTCCCACGGTGACTAGTCCAACACTGTCCTCCATACTGGAAAAACCACAGGACAGCACGTAAATCAAAGCCCCTGTGCAGTCCTGACATTTAAACACAGATCATGTGTGTGCTCCCATCTCAGAGGATCTTCAGTCAGCCCAGTGTTTAATGGATTTTCAGATTCAGGAGCTTTAAACTACACTTCTTTTTCTAATGAGACATTTGGCTGTCAGCAACGTGCTGGAAAATGAGAAAATACATGAATGAAGTCCTTATTCTGTTAATGCTATGCTAACAGAGCCATGCGTTCACTGTGAACACAGTTGGAGCACAGAATGAGTCCTGAGATGGTTTATGGTCGTAAACGCTGTGCAGAAGTCTGGAGTTTTACCTGTGATGCAACTGAACAAGAAAAATGAAAACAGTCCATTCATTTATTTATTTGACAGGAGCGAGTGTGCACATTAGACGTGTAACATACTACAACATTTATAACCAGGACTAATTTGCAGTTACCAAGAAGGCAAAACAAACAAACACACACACACACAGTGTTGTTCATGTTATAATGTGGCATTAGACACAGGCAGATGCAGGCCCTCACTGATGGTTTATCAGTGATTACATGTCTGACTATTCTTTAAGACCAGTTTATGTTCATGTTTTAAACCTGCTCAGTCTAGGTCAAGTTTCTGCTCATTTGTGAGGCTCAGAGAAGACCTTAAGGACTAAAAAAACAAGTGTGAATGAAAATACAACTCAAGGTATGTTTTTGATGAGGGGACAGTATAAGATTGTTAAAGGCTCACAAAGTCAATGTGAACAATATGTGGACTTTAAAAAGACTACATTTAGTGTTCTTTCAAAAGTATTGTGATTCTACAGTTTGGTGCGTGTATTTACCAGAAACACAACAGTTTGTGTGGTTGAGCCAAAGCTCTCTTGTTTACTTTGATATGTTGTGGGTCTGGTCAAATGATAACGGAGGGAAACAGGGGCAGATTTTTGACATTCAAATGTCTCTTATTCAGAAACTAGAGGGACTATTGAAATAAGTAAAGTATCAGAATGTAGGAAAGAGTTAACACTCCAACAGGGTCAAGTTCAACCTGTGATATTCTTTCAAGTTGTTGACAAAAAATTTAAAAACTCATGTTGGTAACGGAGGGAATGAAATATGCAGCACTTTTTGGGCAATAAATCCAAACAGTGATAACTCTTGGTTCTCACTTCCATATCCTTAACAAACTGGTTTGAATATTTGCTTCATATAGTTTTCTACCATATGGTACAAGATTAGGTTGAAAAACCTCTTACTTTTTGAGTCATGGGATTTTTTATTAAGAAAGGTCATGGTAACGGAGGGAAAAGTAACGGAGGGAAAATTGTGCAAACAAGTAGAAGGAGCATGATTTTGCATCATTTGTCACTTTTTTCTTCTGAATACTTTAATATTACTTCAAAATGAAAGGAAACTATTTTTATAAAATATGTCAGTCCTTCCAAGCAAATTTTTATCATTTTAAATACTTTTTTTTTTTTTTTATCCTGTACCTTCATCAACAGTTCAAAGATGGAAAAACACAAGATATGATGAAATACATCCATTTATTGACATGATTTGCAGATCTTTGAAATTTGGGAAATAATTTTTGTTCCATGTTTCATACATGGTCTGTTTAAAACGTATGGAACTTTAGAACCAAAAATGGTACAGAAAAAAGGTCAACAGTTTCATAAACTAGAGTACATATGTATCTGTTCAATACATTTTTATATCAGATGCATTAACATGAATTTTTGGTCTTGCTGTTTACTTCTACTTGACCAGGCCCGTGTGTATCTCTGTGAAAAATCTGTTTTAACCTTTGACTGACTCAGTCCTGAGCTGTGCCCCTGACAGGACTGTCAGGGGCACAAATACATGGTTAGAATTCCATATTGAATACATTTACCAGGACGTCTCTGGAAAACGGCAAAATAAAACTAAATGAACACTGGATAAAACTGTCAAATCTGCTACGTGATTAAAACATATAGTTATGAAGTGACATAACACTAGGCCTGTAGCTTTACCTCGGTGTTAGCTTTAGTGTTAGTGAGATCATCTGCTGCCAGATAGTGTCAGGTGGTGTGGAGCAGACTGAAGGGGTGGAGCAGGTTGAGGGGGTGGAGCAGACTAAGGGGGTGGAGCAGACTGAAGGGGTGGAGCAGGTTGAGGGGGTGGAGCAGACTAAGGGGGTGGAGCAGGTTGAGGGGGTGGTGCAGGTTGAGGGGTGGAGCTGGTTGAGGGGGTGGAGCTGGGTTGAGGGGGTGGTGCAGGTTGAGGGGTGGTGCAGGTTGAGGGGTGGTGCAGGTTGAGGGGGTGAGCTGGTTGAGGGTGGTGCAGGTTGAGGGGGTGGAGCTGGTTGAGGGGGTGGAGCTGGTTGAGGGGTGGTGCAGGTTGAGGGGGTGGTGCAGGTTGAGGTGGTGGAGCTGGTTGAGGGGGTGGTGCAGGTTGAGGGGGTGGTACAGGTTGAGGGGGTGGTGCAGGTTGAGGAGGTGGAGCTGGTTGAGGGGGTGGTGCGTTCAGTGAATTGTCAGTGTCATTCAAATAAATGTCAAATAAATAATATCATATATATAATATAAATAATATGTTAGCACACATGTTGAGGGCGGGGCTAGATACGGCCGTTAGTGTGAAATCTGAACTTCAACCACAACACTGACTGACACAGAGGAATCTGACTGAACAAGTCAATCAAAATCAATATTTGAATGAAAGCAATTAGCTAATCATGAAAGCTGCAATTTTTCTTAATTTCTTCCATAAAAACCAAGTCTCTGTCTGTGTTATTGTGCATAAAACTAACCCTGTAGTTTAGATCTGTACTAACAGGTTCTGAAATGTCATTCTTTCATTAGTTTGTAGTTCATTTTTCAGGCTCTTTGTCAATTCTTCTTTGAACAGAAATCACATTATTAAAACAGAAATCACAGATCTAATCACAATGCTTGTCAGAAAAAAATCAATAATCAAAAACACAATGACGGATTTTTTTTCCCAACTTTAAAGCACAATTCTGAGTTTTATTTGAGTCATCTGGTCTTATACTGATCGATATGCCCTGATAGCACTCGCCTGTCTGACAGATGGGGCCTTGTGCTGTGTGTGTGCTGTGTGTGTGTGCTGTGTGTGTGTGTGTGTGCGTGTGTGTATGGACTTTGGGGACATGTGCGCATGGGGCCGTGTGCACGTGTGATGGAGTCGTGGTTTGGTGTGCACACGTGTGATAACTTTGGAGTGCCGCACACATGCAATAACTTTTGGGCGTGTGCACATGTTTGATGACTTTAGGGGGTGTGCACACATGTGATGACTTTGGGGCGTGTGCACATGTGTGATGGGTTTGAGATGTGTGCACATGTGTGATGGGCTCGTGGTTGGTTGAGGGTGGTCAGTGGGTGACTGGAGTGGCCCCTGTGTGTGCTGGTACTGTGTTCTGAGGAGGATGTGAGTGTGAAGAGAGGCCTGAGAGAGAGAGTGTGCTCTTTTTAAAGCACAGATCTGTGTGAACCTCCATCTGTGCTCCACTATCAGCTCCAAACACTCATGTCCTCATAAGTCTGTGTGCTTTCTGACAGTCACTGCAAAATCACCACAACAAACCCAAACAGGGGCCCAAACAGGGGCCCAAACAGAGGCCCAAACAGAAGCCCAAACAGAGGCCCAAACAGGAGCCCAAAGAGAGGCCTGAAGAGAGGTCCAAAGAGAGGGCTGTTCACTTAAAGGAGCTGTATGTAGCACTTATTCTTATTGTTTTAGCTTTCTACCATGTTATAACATTATTCCTTCATCAAAAACATGCCTGAAGAGGTTTTAGATGTCATCCATGCATGTTTGAGTTATCAAGTGATCTCCTTCGGGGTCTTATAGACCAGATAGAGGACACACAAGTTTGTGTCATTCTCAGTATATGGACAGGTTATGCAGTTATCCACAGGAGCGGCGCCACAGCTGCGGCGCTTTGTTGTGATGACGTTTATGGCGACGTTTATCTACTCCCACAGGGCACCACAGTTTTCTAACGTTTAAGTCAGTGGACTTGTTTCTTTTATTAAGTAATTTTAGATCAATATTGTGATTTAAAATGTTTATATTTTAACATAATGATCCACAAGGGTCAGAGATTAGAACTTTAGAGCAGACACTGACACAATCTGTGTGCTTTAATGGCACTGTTTAAAGTCTGTTTTGTTTTTGTTGAGGAAATGAAAGGGGCACAGTGTGAGACTGCCACCTGCTGGTCTCAGGGGGCTGTCGTTATTTTGCCACATGTGTCTTACACTTCTACAGTTTCATTTAAAAGAGTCTGGAGCTGTCACTGTCACAAGCACAGAGCAAATGCACACACCAAATACACCATTACATGAGAATGAAGTGGTCCAGCAGCTCAAATGTATATATATATATATACACTGTTGGGCAAGTTACTTTAAAACTGTAATGCGTTATTTATTACTTATTACTGTCATTTCAAAGTAATTCGTTACATTACAATATTACTGCATTTAAAATGTAAGGCATTACATTACTATTGCATTACTTTAAGTTACTCTCACCAAAATAACTGCGAAAAAGCTGAACTTTTGAGCCGTATATGGACTGAACCAGGACTAAACAAGGTCTAAACCAGGACTAAACCAGAGCTGAACCAGGACTAAACCAGGACTATAACAGGACTAACCTCAGACTGATTCCAGGACTGAAGAGGAGGACTAAACCAGAACTGAACTAGGACTAAAACAGGACTCACTGTCAGGACGGGCTCGAAGGTGACCGCAGGAGAAAGGAGCGGCTCTGCTCCACACCTCACGGAGGTAAGAGCGGCTGTCGCCCGATCGCGCTTTACAGACACCCTGCTGCTCGGGCTCACGGTCCTGATTTCAGCAACTATTTGCGGGTACAAGACCCGGTGCAAGACTCTGCTACAGCGCGTTACTTCTACCTTCCTTCAACGTGTCCAGAAGTCCAACTTTTTGTGCGATGGTTTGCATCGTCCTCTGTCTTTTGGGTGCGAGCGCAGGAGACTTTGTCGGTGCAGAACATTTCGTCGACGTTGTGGATTTTGTCGGAGAGAAAACTTGCAGACATACAGCACTTCAGAATCACACTGCTAGAGATTGAACATTTATTAAAATTCGCCAGTTGAACAATTTTCTGTACTGTACAGTAGACAGGAGTCCCTTAGCCGATCAGGACACAGCGGGAGGAACGCAATACGTGTTCATACACTAAAAACAAAAGGCATGCAAAATTGCACACAAAAAAAAATCTAAAAATCAGCGAAACAGGGAGACCGCGAAAAGTGAATCGCGTTAGAGCGAGGGACGACTGTAAGCCAGGTCTAAACCAGAAGTGACCCAGGTCTAAACCAGGTCTAAACCAGAAGTGACCCAGGTCTAAACCAGGTCTAAACAGCGTAGAGTTCTGGGTCGGTCCTTTCACCCGCGGTTAACTGAAGGTTTATCCGGCCGTGTCTCCGGCGTTTCACCGCTGCTGATTTCACGGTGATTTTAGCGAATTTCTATGAAGAAAAACCCACCACTTCAATCCAGGTTAAAAAAGCATTGTAACGCGCGTTACTCACATTTGTACCGAGTAAAATATTACAATTTTTCCCCCTATAATGCCTTACATTACTGCGTTACAGCAAAAATCAACGCATTACTGTAATACATTACTTTTATAATACATTACTCCCAACACTGTATATATATATATATATATATATATATATATATATATATATATATATATATATATATATATATATATATAAAATCCAAGAATGTGAATCAAATGAAATACTGTCATCCATCAGTACAAGGGGAAACAGGGAAGTGGGGAATGACTGATAGAAGCCTGTCATTTCCTATCTCCATGGAAAAAGCAGATGACCACTAGGTCAAGCTACAGGTCAGCTCTGTGGAGAGGTGAGTCCACTCATAGTAAGAGTGCATGTTTTTCAGGGTTTTTTGAATATTTTAAACATTTGTAATGGATATGGCAAGATAGGTAAGATTTATGCCACACTGCGGAACATTCCAGCTAATGCAATGACATCTCCATGGAGACAGGCAGGTCATATACTCTCCATTATAAATGTAATTGCATCTGTACTGCACCTTTAAAACATGCCCTGAAACAGGGGTCAAACTTCTTCGCTGAGGGCCACATCCTGAGAGACTCAGGTCAGTGGAGAACAGTGGAACGCTTGAACAGTGGAACGCTTGAACAGTGGAACGCTTGAACAGTGGAACGCTTGAACAGTGGAACGCTTGAACAGTGGAACGCTTGAACAGTGGAACGCTTGAACAGTGGAACACTTAAACAGTGGAACACTGAGCTGATCATTTGAACCAGTGCTCTTTTAATCATAATGCTTTAAACATTAACTTCAGGTTTGTTTCACATCATGTTTCTACTCAGTGGGACATTTCAGGGTCACTGAGCATAAAGGCCTGAGGGCCAATACAAATGTGTCTGAGGGCTGCATTCGGCCCCCTGCCCTAAAACCTCCTCTGAACACAGGAACACACTGCAGACTGTACTGTCTCTGCAGGACACGGTGTTCATATCCTCGGCTCACATTTATGATGTGCTATTGCCCATGAAATAGAAACTGTCGCTTGCATCATTACATGTTTGTACACCACTCTGCTCTATTTATGCTCCGGAGCATCTGACATATCTGCTGCTCCAGCTGCAGATTGGACTCACTCTTACCTTTCTGTGATCACATCTGTCACACATGAGACATTTGTTAAATGACCCATGAGCACATGTAACCTGAAGATGTTTGCACTTGACTTTGGGGGGAGTCCCTGTGGTGTGAGGTGTGGCTCATTTGGGCTCCTGGATCGTTTTGAGCTCAGGAGGAGTCAAGCACCAGACTGAGCTGACTGGATAAGAGTGAGACAGGACACAGACTCAGAGCAAAAGAAACCAGCAAAAAGCAAATCTAAACAGAAAAGTATCATTTGTCACTAAATGTTCTTGATCTTCTGTCATATTATATTTGCAGTGATGGGCACTTGTGTTAGGCCCACATGCTTAGCACAACACCGCTTGGTCACGTTAACATCTGTTTCCTGTTTGATGCCTAACACTCGCTCTAAGATTGAAAATTGGATATTTCCAGTGCCTTATGCATGTAACATGAACAACAATGTGTTACATAAAGAGTTAAAACACAGGGATGTGAGAAGAGGCGAGTTTGAAGTGTGAGAACTTGTTTGATTTATCCATTCATCCAAAGTCGTCTTCTCTGTGCCTTTAAAAATGCTCTGTTTACATTTTGCCTGTTTTGTTGCATCACAGATAAAACTATAGACTGTGCAGTGTTTAAGTCCATAAACCATCACCAGACGTGTTTTATGGTCATAGCACGTGCACAAACACACATGGCTCTGTTAGCATCCACTGGAGAGAGGGACTTTGAGAGTTTGGTTGTTTGTTCTTGTTGCTTCACTGTAGTTTATAAAGTATGTTTCCCAAATTATTATTATTTGATGTTCGAAATGTGTTAGAAGTGTGAAATACTAATCCCAGGGCGATGATGTTTAAAAGAGAATTGAAACCACAAGAATGTATTTCATGTGTTCTTTATATTAAACAATTTGCTGACGTTTGTAGTTTCCTCATCACAAACAGACCTGGACTTGTGTTTTGTTTCATTCTCACATGTTTAACACACAAAACATGCATATTTAGACTGACTTCTTCTCTCTAACTGAAAAACACACAAACACAGATCCACCTTGTGATGTCATGTGGTCACTATGTGGTCACATGTGGTTAAACTCCATTCACTAGAATCATTTGAATCATTTCGGTCCTGAAATTGCTGTTAAATAAAAGGTCTACTGTAGCTGTTAACAAGTTGAAACAGAGCATTTTGAGCTTTGGAAATGTGGACTGACTAATAATAAAGGATTTTCAGGAGGTGCGATGAGGTAACACCATTCTAACACGACTTAAAGCTCACAACAGTCAGTTTTGTGTAATATAGGACCATAAAGACACAGCCTATATCTAGAGTTGGTGCAGGTGCATATATTTCTATATTAGCTCCTGCCTGACTGACCTTCTTGTGTCTCTGTGTGTGTCTGTGTGTGTGTATGTATGCCTATGTGTGTGTGTGTGTGTGTGTGTGTGCATGTGTGTGTGTACAGGGAGGGCAGCAGCAGTGAGGTGCCCATCCTGGTGGTGGGGAACAAGCGTGACCTGCAGCGTCAGCGATTCATGCCACGCCGCGCCGTCTCCGTCCTGGTGAAGAAGACGTGGAAGTGTGGTTACGTGGAGTGCTCGGCCAAGTTCAACTGGCACGTGGTCCTGCTCTTCAAGGAGCTGTTGGGCATCGCCGTGGCCCGCGGCGTCCGGCAGAACCACACCTCCATCAGACTGCAGGGGGCGCTGCAGAGAAACCGCTGCACTATCATGTGACCCGCAGAGGCACCTGTACAACCTCCGACCTCAGGCGCCAAGAGATACAAGACTGTGCACTGCAAAACGTAAAGGCTGTCCCACGCCAAATGACCTGGGTTCAGAATACTGTTTTTGTCTAGGTATTTTTATTTTTTATATTTTACATATATTTTTTTTATTATTATTTTGGCTGATAGGATTCATTGCAGGTGACGTACAGTCAAAAATGATTCATACCCCTGACAAATTTTGACTTAAAGTTACTTTTATTCAACCAGCAAGTTTTTTCTTGATTGGAAAAGACACAGGCGTTTCCCAGAAGATAATAAGACAATGTACAAGAGGCATCATTGTGGAAAAAAATATTTCTCAGCTTTTATTTAGAGCAAGGAGAAGAGCAACTGACCAAACATTTCAGAAATTATTACTGACTCAGGATGCTAAGGCTGTGATTTTGACTAATTTAGATGATTTAAAAACACAAAAACAGTGCATTGTTTTTTCCAGTTTATTTCCTAACATCTCACACAGTTTAACTATAGATAAAAATAATGACCCATAGACTCTATTCACACTTACATCCCAAATCACAAAAATGTTTGGAAAGATGTGGCTTGCAAATTGCAGCTGATCATCAACATTCCTCGAGACTGTAATGCTAACTAGAGGCACTGCTCTGTCCAAAGCTCTGTTACTGAAAACTGTAACACAATCTGATGTGTGCATTGTGTCACTGCAAAGTATCATACTGTAGTACTTTTTTTTTTTTAATGAATTGTTAACCTTACTCAAAAACAGATTCTCACTCTGAACCCCAGTCACTTGGAGCATTTGGACAGTCATATTTTTGCAGTGTGGATCTCAATGGCTGGATAACCGTCCTGTGGCCTGCTGCTTCACTGAGCTGATTTTTACTGAGCTGAGGTGTTTGTGGTACGACGCGCTGTAGAGACCCCCCCTCACTTTCACAGCTCCTCTCCTGAATGCACTGTAGACACACCCTCCTCACCTCCATACAGCTCAACTCCTGAACGTGCTGTGGATGGAGACCCCCCCTCACCTCCATACAGTCCCTCTCCTGAACGCGCTGTGGAGACCCCCCCTCACTTCCATACAGCTCATCTCCTGAACGCGCTGTGGAGACCCCCCCTCACTTCCATACAGCTCATCTCCTGAACGCGCTGTGGAGACCCCCCCTCACTTCCATACAGCTCCTTTCCTGAACGCGCTGTAGAGACCCCCCCCTCACCTCCACAGCTCCTCTCCTGAACGCGCTGTTCTCCCATGGACCAACGCACGCAGCAATAGTATCCAGTCTTCCTCCAACCAGAGAGTCACATCAGCATGGTCCAGCACCAGTGTGAGAGGAGAGGTGGGTGATACAGAGGGGTCCTGGTGGGCTCAGGAAGGTCATAACACTGAAAAGAGCTCAAAACTTTAGTGTCATCTTCCAAACAACCGTACAGTACAGTATGTAGCCTGCACTCATGCTGGTATAAAAAGGTACTAGAATCACTGAACCAGGGATGTACTAGCTATTTCAGTTCCAATACTGATATTGATACTTTGACCCAATATTAACCAATACTAGTAAAGGCCCAGTATCAGTATCGGTGCATAAACTGATCCTGTGTCTCCAGAGCCTTAACCTGCAGATATATGGACACTTCAAAGTTTGTCTCACTCTCAGTTTATGTTCAGGTCTCACGTGAAGCTCAGAACCTCCAGACTTCCCTCCCTGAGCTGCAGAGGCTGCACTAGCACTGACTCATGATTTCAGCATTGACAAACCAACAGAGAAACTCATGTGAGGCACATTCTGCTTTTTGAATGGATAATCAAAAATGAAATCATAATGTAAATGTTGATCACATCCAATGTTTTTGTAATTAAGACTAAATCAGCATTCAGTAAAAAAAAATATATATATATATATATATATATATATATATATATATATATATATATATATATATATATATATATATATATGTATATATATTTGATTTGAATAAGTTCTGGGGACACAGATCACAGTCATGTTTAGTTTAGTTCATTTATTTATTTATGAAATGTGTAATATAAAGTCTTCATGCTGTTCCTTTACTTCCTGTCCGTATCGCCCACCTCTCTGTGACAGCAAAATGTGTTTTTAAAAACCTGTGGAAATGTTACCAAATGTTTGAATGATCAGCACAAACTTAGAAATACAACGAGCAGGGAGTTTACTGAACTGTGACACTTCTCACACCGCTGTGTTCGGACACCGCTGTGTTCAGACACTGCTGTGTTCAGACACCGCTGTGTTCAGACACCACGGTGTTCAGACACCGCTGTGTTCAGACACCGCTGTGTTCAGACACCACGGTGTTCAGACACTGCTGTGTTCAGACACCTCTGTTCAGACACCGCTGTGTTCAGACACCGCTGTGTTCAGACACCACGGTGTTCAGACACCGCTGTGTTCAGACACCGCTGTGTTCAGACACCGCTGTGTTCGGACACCGCTGTGTTCAGACACCGCTGTGTTCAGACACCGCTGTGTTCAGACACCGCTGTGTTCAGACACCGCTGTGTTCAGACACCGCTGTGTTCAGACACCTCTGTTCAGACACCGCTGTGTTCGGACACCGCTGTGTTCAGACACCTCTGTGTTCGGACACCGCTGTGTTCGGACACCGCTGTGTTCGGACACCGCTGTGTTCGGACACCGCTGTGTTCGGACACCGCTGTGTTCAGACACCTCTGTGTTCAGACACCTCTGTTCGGACACCGCTGTGTTCGGACACCGCTGTGTTCGGACACCGCTGTGTTCGGACACCGCTGTGTTCAGACACCTCTGTGTTCAGACACCGCTGTGTTCAGACACTGCTGTGTTCAGACACTGCTGTGTTCAGACACCACGGTGTTCAGACACCGCTGTGTTCAGACACCTCTGTGTTCAGACACCGCTGTGTTCAGACACCGCTGTGTTCAGACACCTCTGTGTTCAGACGCCCCTATGTTCAGACACCTCTGTGTTCAGACACCTCTGTTCAGACACTGCTGTGTTTGGACACCACTGTCGTTAAACACTGCTGTGTTCAGACACCGCTGTGTTCAGACACTGCTGTCGTTAAACACTGCTGTGTTCAGACACCGCTGTGTTCAGACACCGCTGTGTTGGGACACCTCTGTGTTTGGACACCGCTGTGTTCAGACACTACTGTCGTTAAGCACTGCTGTGTTCAGACACCGCTGTGTTCAGACAACCGCTGTGTTCAGACACCGCTGTGTTCAGACACCGCTGTGTTCAGACAACCGCTGTGTTCAGACACCGCTGTGTTCAGACACTGCTGTCGTTAAACACCGCTGTGTTCAGACACTGCTGTGTTCAGACACCGCTGTGTTCAGACACCGCTGTGTTGGGACACCTCTGTGTTTGGATGCTGTGTTCAGACTCCGTTGTGTCTGGACGTTGTGTCAAGATGCTGTGTTCAGACACCGCTGTGTTCAGACTTATTTCAATCGTTGCTTTAACTGTGGGGAAAACATCTCATTTAAGAACCTTTTAGGGGAAATTCCACCAGCAGACAGCAACATTATGGAAACAAGTGGGTGAAGTGTGTTGCTTCAAGAGTCCATATTGTACTATTTTTGATTTATGTTATGATGTTGTTTGCTCATCACCAACACTCCTGGAGTTGTGTTTTGTTTCATTCACACAAACCCTTGTGATGTCATGTGGTAATACAGGAAGTGCTCCACTGTGTTTTTAAATTCCATACACCTTTTTGGATCATTTCAGCTTTGGAATTGCCTAAATTTAAAGTTACAGCTGTTGTTTTAGCCTCATCAAACTCTTCATTCCTTTGTACACCAGCAGATATTACACACTATATTATCATATACTGTACAGTATCTACTCACAATCTCAACTGTACAAAAGACAAAACATATTTAAAAATTAAAACAACAAATTCATCTAGTATATTTTATCTCATAATTGGGGCTAAACAAACATCTTGAGAACTTCCGGTTAATGACATCACAAGGTGGAACAGAGCATTTTGAGCTTTGGGAATGCAGACAGACTAATCATCCAGAATGACTCAAACATGTGAGAATGAAACAAAACACAAATGCAGCTCTGTTTTTGATGAGGCAACAACATTCTAATGGCCTAACGTTCACAGAAGTTCATTTTGTTTAATATTGGAGCGTTAAAGGCACAAGGGTAAACATGGGTCAGAGTTGGGGATCGAACTACCAACCGATTAAATATTTTAACAGGCAAATGCTATGTCACTGAGCCACTGTCATAGATCTGCGTTTGGTCGCCCAATACTTTGTGTCTGCAACTTAAACTCCAGCTGTTTTACTATTGTACATTCAACCTCCAACAATGTGGTTTACACACTCGCAACAGGCTGGACCAGTCTGGACCAGGCTGGACCAGTCTGGACCAGGCTGGACCAGTCTGGACCAGTCTGGACCAGTCTGGACCAGTCTGGACCAGTCTGGACCAGGCTGGACCAGTCACACATGTGCTCACTTCTCCTGGCTCCTCATGGGAACACTCAGGTGTGCTCTGGGTTCAGTGTTAGCGTTAAAAGCTTCCTCATGTTTCAGACACTGGTTTGAATTTGGACAAAGTCAGTTTTCCTGCTCACTCGCACTAAGTCGGACTCCAGCCGAGCAGGACGCTCTGCAGCAGAAAACACTGCAGTCCCTTATCGTGATGTAGCATAGACTTTAATGTGGCCCCTCCCCCTCCTCCTCCTCCCCCCGCACGCACACACACACACACACCCCTTATATTTCCATGCACATTGGGGACATGACATTGACTTCCACTCATTTCCTGGAGATCTTGTCCATAGTCACTAGTTGTCTAACTTAAAGAGCGATGATATTCTGCAGATTTTAATGTTTCTTTTCATTGACCCACTGAAGTTGTAGTCAGAGTGATTCATGGATGTTTGAGTCTTGTATTTAAGATGTCATTGCTCTGACTTGCTGCCACTGCTCTGATTTATTTCTTCATCTGTGATACACATAC